TGAAGCTGAAGAAAATTAAAACAAGTCCATGAAAGCCAAAATATGTCTACCAAATTTCTTGGCATACATAAGTGAGTGCCTACCTACATAACCCACCCGAGTTTAGAGATCACCTGAAGAACAGATTTGATGCATTAGACATTGAAGAATGAAGACAAGATGAGTTGTGGTATTTAAATTAAGAGCATCATACACGAAAAAAGCAAAAGGTCATTAAAGAGATAAGAAAGAAGGAAAAGATCAAAATGGATGTCAGAAAAAGACACTGAAACTTGCTCTCCAGTGTAGAGATACTAAAGCAAATGGAAGAAATGAAGAGGTAAATGAGCTGAACAGAGTGTTTCTAAGGTCATCTTGAGAAGAAAAAGTCAAATATTATAACGAGATGTGCAAAGACCTGGAGTTAGAAAACCAAGAGGGAAGAAAATGTGCAGCATTTCTCAAGCTGAGGGAACTGAAGAAAATATTCAAGCTTAGACTTGCCATATTGAAGGATTCTGTGTGTAAAATGTTGAATGACACAGAAAGCATCAAAAGAAGTTGGAAGTAAAATACAGAGTCACTGTACCAAAAATAAATGGTCAATGTTCAGCCATTTCAAAAAGGTAGCATATGATCAATAGCCAATGATACTGAAGAAATCCAAGGTGCATTGAAGAAATTAGCAAAGAACAAGACACTGGGAATTGATAGAATACAAATTGAAATCTTTCAACAAACTGATGTGACATTGGAGGCACTCACTCATCTATGCCAAGAAATTTGGAAGACAACTATCTGGCCAACTGACTAGAAAAGATCCAAATTTGTGCCCTTTCCAAAGAGTGGTGATCCAAAAGAATTCAGACATAATTGTACATTATTACTAATATCCCATGCGAGTAAAGTTTTGCTAAAGATAATATAAAAATAGCTGTAAACATACATTGACAGAAAACTTCCAGGGGTTCAGATTCAGAAGAGGATGTGGACCAAGGAATATCACTGCTGACATCAGATGGATCTTGGCTGAAAGCAGAGAATACCAGAAAGATATTTTCCTATGTTTTATTGGCAAAGGCTTTCAATTGTGTGGATCACGATAAGCTATGGACAACGTTTGCAGAGACTGAGTATTCCAAAGCACTTAATTGTGCTCATGAGCAACCTGTGCATACAGCAAGAGATGGTTGTTCAAACATAACAAGGGAACACTGAATGGTTTAAAATAAGGAAAGGTATATACCAGAGTTGTATTTTTTCACCATGCTTATTCAACCTGTATGCCAAGCAAAAAATCCGAGAAACTGGATTATCTGAAGAAAACATGTCATCAGGATTGGAGGAAGACTGATTAACAATTTGTGATATGCAATAGATACAATCTTGCTTGCTGAAAGCAAAGAGGATTTAAAGTACTTACTGATGAAGATCAAAGACCATGGGCTTCAGTGTGGATTGCGTCTCAATGTAAACAAAACAAAAATTCTCACAACTGGACCAATAGACAACACCCATATAAATGGAGACAAGAAGTTGCCAAAGACTTCATTTTGCTAGGATCAATCATCAACACTTATGGAAGCAGAAGTTAAGAAATCTAACAATGTATTGCATTAGTCAAATCTGCTGCAAAAGAACTCTTTAACATGTTAAAGATCAAAGATGCCAGTTTGTGGAGTAAGGCACACTTGATCCAATCCATGGTATGTCTGTGAAAGTTGGACAGTGAATAAGGAAGACCATAGAAGAACTGATGCATTTGGTTTATGGTGTTGGAGAAGAATATTTAAACTAGTGTAGACTGACAAAAGAACAAACATCTGTATTGGTAGAAGTACAGGCAGAATGCTCCGTGGAAGAAAGGATGCTCAGACTTCGTATGTCATACTTCAGGCATATTACCAGGAAGGACCAGTCTCTTAGAAGGATATCACATTTGGTAAAATGGTGTGCCAGAGAAAAAGAGGAAGATCCCCAGCAAGATGGGTTGGCACAGTGACAGCATCAGTGGGCTCAGGTGTAGCAGTGATTGTGAGGTTGATGTGGGACCAGGCAGTGTTTCATTCTGTTGTGCATAGGGTCATTCTGAGTAGGTACTGACTCAATGGCACCTAACAATAATAAATAGCTGATTTTCTATGTATATCACATATTATTTATTGTTTTATCTGTTGATGGACATTTTGGTTATTTCATGTTTTGACCATTATGAATTGTGTTACAATAAACAGTCATGTTATCTATAAGAACTTGCAAGAGAATTTTAATGATTTCATCAGTGAAGGAAAAACAGTAAGATCTTTAAACAAGACAGTAAAAGAAATAAGACAAAGAAGAAAAATGTAAAGTATTCATTTGACTACTTAAAATTACAAACCTGTGTTTACCAAAAGTTTTAATGAACAATGTGAGAACTCAAGTCAAAAACTGGGAGAAGAGATTTGTAATATATAGAATCTCAAAAGAACCCAAGCATAGGAATAAGTATAAAAGTTGAATAATTTCAAAAGAATATATTGTGCAAATCATTTCCAAAAAATACAAAGTATGATAGTATTTATCTAAAGTTGTGAAAGATTCAGAATGACAATATATTGCTTGCAGATACATATGAATGAAGTAAAATATAAATGTGTGGATATAATAAACAAATAATGATTCTACCTGAGTGGGAAGGGAGTGAGGAGGGACATGTGTTTGGAAAGACATGTGTATAGATCATTGATGTGTGTATGTGTTCTCTTTGTTGAAGTAGGTGATGTGTACATGAGTATTAATTGTACCTTTTAATGTCTTTTTAGATTTTTAGTTATTACATAAGTCTTTAAAATAAAAGGAAAAAATAGAGCTAACATTTATAGAGCTCTTCGTTAAAACTATAGTCCTCTCTAAGCCTTACATGCATATGTCATTTACTCTTCTTGTTGTTAAGTGTCGAGTGGATTCCAACTCATAGCAACCCCATATTGGGTTTCTGAGGAGGAGTGGCTACTGGCTTTTAACTGCTGACTTTGTGGTTCGCAGTCCAGAGCCGATCTTACAGCGCCACACCAGAAGTTCATTAATGACTACTTCTTGTATTCATTTTATATTTAAGAAAAGAGGCTTCTAAAAGTTAAATAACCACCAGCTGCTCATAGAAACCCTATACAGGGTTGTTGGCACTTAACAACATCATACAGGCTCATATAGGGAATCCTGGTGTGGTACTGTAGGGTCAGAACTGAACTTTGAACCACAAGGTGGGCAGTTCAAGCCCACCATCTGCTCCCCAGAAGAGTCACTATACTGAGTTGCTATGAGCCAGAACTGACTCAACAGCACTTACCAGCAACAACATGGTCATATAGTAGTCCTGGTGTGGACTTGGAGGATAAGCACTGGACTGCTAACCAAAAGGTCAGTGATTCAAACCCGCCAGCTGCTTCTCAGAAACCCTATACAAGTTCACTATGAGTCAGAGCTTACTGGACGGCACTTAACAACAACAAACAGCAATGATCATATAGGTGTGAGGGCCAGAGGAAGAAACTGGAGCAGTTTAAGAAGCTTTCACCTATAACTTTCATAAAAGTTAATCTATCTCTTTTCAGAGTTTCTTATTAATCACAAAGAAGTGCAACTATGATTTCATCCTCTGGATGCAGCTAAAACTACAGCATAGAACATAATGTCTTTGGCCTCTTCGTCAACTTTTAGAGACTAGAAGAGTATTTGCTCAGAAACATACGGCATGAGTCATTTCCTTAGTATCTATTTATTTGTTCAACAAATATTTATCAAGAACCTACATAGCACAGTGGTGAACCACAATGTATTTATAGTCTACATCATTTTTGCAGCTAGCCAAACTTTGGGACAAAATTTGAGATTTCCATTTTCATTTCCAACAAATGAGCGGAATGCTGTGATTAATTCGTAACCATTTTAGAACTTGCAATCTGGTTTACTGTGGATCTCCTTTGAGTTTCACTATTCACAAACTGCAAATTCACATGACCTCTAAAATATTTTAGCTACTTGTTACTAAGCCAAGTGTATATTGAAAATCTTTAGCCCACTTTTGGCTAAGCAAACTACCTATTGAAACCAAAATGTTATTTTAAGTAATATAATATAGTTTTGTGTGTGGCGCTGTGGGTTAATGTGCCAGACTGCAAAACCATTTGAACTTCATGGCCGGTGGTTCAAGCTCACCAGCTGCTCCTCAGAAACCCTATACAGGTTCACCATGGGTTGGAATGGACTCAACGGCACTTAAGAACAACAACAACAAAATAGTTTTGTACGACTACTTCCTTTTTCTTTCTATATTTCCCTTTCCTTTATTCCATTGATCAAAGAATTATCTCTTTAATCCTTTGAACTCCAATAAGCTATTGGGCTTTTCTTAATCTTAATATTAGGTATATTTTGTAATCCTATTCATTCAACAAGATGTTGAGCTCATAGAACTGAGACAATGACTGCACTGGATTTACATTCATTACAGTCTTACTTATTAAAACGGGTATTCTGAAAACAATTTTCTTCCCTAAACCCCCAAAACAAACTCTGCCACCAAGTCATTTTGACTCCTAGTGACCCTGTAGAACAGTGTAGAACTGCTCCATAGGGTTTCCAAGGAGGTAAATCTTTATGGAAGTACACTACCACATCTTTCTTTGGTAGAGCAGCTGGTAGGTACAAACTGCTACCTTTTGGTAAACAGCTCAATGCTTAACCCACCACATGTCCAGGGCTCTTTTTCCTTCCTAAAGAACCATTTAACTCTATCTACTGAGGCCAACTTGTGTGTGTGAACTTTATGAGCTAGTTGTAGGTATGCCTCAAGTCATTATGACTGGTTTAAATAATTATACAAAGATAATACAACTGAAAAATAACCATCATTTTACTTAGTGTATGATTTCTGAATTATGTGATAATGTAAGTATTCAAATCATGTCTTTTTAATACTTATGTCCATTTAGTCTTTTCTTTAACCACTGATTTCCTTTTTTATAATGCATATTCAGGGATCTGAAGGAATTCTGGGAATTCCAGGACAAAGAGGCCGTCAAGGAATAAAGGTAATTTTGTTTTATATCCTTTTGTTCTGGTTTTCTTCTCAGGCTGAGCTCCATTCAACTGCTGTAATGTTTTCATTGCACTGCTGTGGCACTGTAGGATAAGCACTAGACCACTAGGTTGGTTTGAACCGCAAGGTTTGTGGTTCAAACTCACCAGTTGCTCCTCAGTAACCCCTTACAGGATTGCTATGAGTTGAACCAACTCTATGGCACTTAACAAGAACAACATAGATAAATTAGGGACTCCTGGTATGGCGCTGTAGGTTCAGCACTGGATTTTGAACCACAAGTTCAGCATTTCAAACCCACCAGCCACTTCTCAGAAACCCTAAACAGGGTCACTATGCGTTGGAACCAACTCAATGGCACTGAACAACAACAATATATAAAGTACGGGAGTGCAGTGACTCCATATGATTAGCACTGGACTGTGAACCACAATGTCTGTAGTTCTAGCCACCAACTGCTCTGCAGGAAAAAGATGAGGCTTTCTGCTCCCGCAAAGATTTACAGCCTCGGAAACCTTATACAGACTCGCTGTGAATTGAAACCAAGTCAAAGGCACCTAACAGTTGCAACAATAGCAACAATATGTAAAGTACCTATAAAGTCAGTTCCGACGTATGACAACCACTGTGTACAACTGGTGTGGCACTGTGAGTTAATGCACCAGACTGCAAAGCCATGTGAACTACGAGGTTGGTGGTTCAAGCTCACCAGTCGTTCCTTGGAAACCCTATACAGGGTCACTATGGGTCAGAACTGACTCGACGGCACTTAACAACAATGTACAACAGAACAAAACACTGACAGGTCTTGCGCCATATCACAATTTCTATGTTTATGCCCATGGTTGCAACCACCTGTGCCAATCCATCCCATTGAGGGGCTTCCTCTTTTTTTGTCAACTATACCAAACATGATATCCTTCTCCAGGGACATATGTCCAAAGGACATGAGACAAATGTCGCCTTCCTTGCTTTTAAGGAGCATTCTGGCTAAACTTCTTTGAAGATAATTTTCTTTGTTCTCCTGGTAGTCCGTAGTACTTTTAATATTCTTCTCCAGCAAAATACTTTAAATGCATCAATTCTTCTATGATATTGCTTATTCATTATCCAACTTTCACAACCATATGAGGTGACTGAAAATTCCATGGCTTGGGTCAGATGTACCTTACTCCTGAAAGTAGCACATTTGCTCTCTAACACTTTAAAGAAGTCTTTTGCAACAGACCTTTTTTATTATTTGGATTTCCTTTTTCCTTTTTTCAAAAACTTGTGGTAGCGATATGCATAGCAATATAAACTAATAAAGAGCTATACATTTGGATGAAGAGATCACATTTATATAAATTACTACAGATCAGGCTTTCTGCTCCCATAAAGATTTACAGCCTCGTAAACCCTGTTTTGGATCACTATGAATCGGAACTGATTCCACTGTACTTAACAACAACAACAGCAACAACAACAACAACAAGGAGCTCTGGTCGCGTAGTGGTTACGAATCGGGCTGCAAGCCGCAAGGTCAGCAGTTTGAAACTACCAGCTGTTCCGCAGGAGAAAGATGAGGCTTTCTGCTCCCATAAAGATTTACAGCCTTGGAAACCCTGTACAGGGTCGCTATGAGTCGGCTCCAACTCCACGGCACATAACCACCGCCACCATATGAGGGTGAGTCAAAAATTATCATTCTGGTTATATTAAAACATCCAACCACAGCTGATGACAACATAGAGCATGCACATGAAATGATTCTGTCAAATAGATGAGTGACAATGGATTATGTGGCAAGTCATTTGCAAATCAGCCATGGTTCTGCCTGTGAAGTAATCCACCACAGACTTGGGTTTCAAAGAGTTTGTGCGAGATGGGTACCGAAACAATTCACGGAAGAGCATAAACAGAAGCTTTTGGACATCTGCAAATAAATATGGACTGATACTTGAAGGAACGTAAAAGTTTTGTTTGTTTTTTTTAATCATTACTGGTAACGATACATGGATTCATCACTATGAGCCTGAGAGAAAACGACAGAGTATGGAATGGAAACATCCTCAATCACCAACCAAGAAAAAGTTCAAAAGTCAACCATCAGCTGGAAAATTGATGCTTACAGTTTTCTGGAATCCTCAATGGCCAGCATTGAAACACTATCAGGAAGAATGTCCAGCAATCAACAGTGTTTATTATAGTGAGATGTTCACTGAAAAGCTGAAGCCTAAACTTCAGATTAAATGCAGTGGACTGTTATCCAAGGGTGTCGTGATCTTGCATGACAATGCACGTCCACACACGTCTACCCACACTGTTGACACTCTGCAGAAAGTTCGTTTTGAGGTGTTAAAGCATCTTCCCTGTAGTCCTGATCTTGCTCCATCAAACTTTCACCTGTGTGGTCTCCTGAAAAGCAGCTCTTCCAGGACAATGATTCACCTCTGATGAAATGAAGACAGAAGTGCATTCGCAACTCAGCTCAGTCTAAAATATTTTTTTAATAAGGAAATACAAAAGCTTATTGACATATGGGCAAAGTTTATTGAAAAGCGAGGAGATCATGTCAAAAAATGATGTATTTGTCTTTTCTAAAGTTGATTAAAATAAGTTCTACATCCAGAGTGCAGATAAGTTTTTACTCACTCATAATTTCATTTAGGAAAAGTTATCACTTTAATTATTTGAAAGCAAATATGTCAATTATAGATTATTCAAGATCTTTGGTTTTTTCCTCCATCTATGAGGCTTTCTACTCCCGTAAAGATTTACACCCTCGGAAACCCTGTACAGGGTCGCTATGGGTCGGAACCAACTTGATGGCACTTAACAACAACAACAACATTGCAGTGAGGTTAGCCTAGGATCAGGCAGTGTTTCGTTCTGCTGTACATAAGGTCGCTGTGGGTCAGTACCGACTCAATGGTACCTAACAACAACAATAATTTATCAAAAATATTTTTAAAAATAGGCTATAATAAGAAAAGATAGGCTTTTTTTTTATCTTTCTCAAAATTGAAATGATTGACAATTGATTATATATATATTAACTAAAAGTCACAAACCAAGAATTTTTTTACTCATTTAATATTTTATTTTTAAATATTTGTTTTATAAAATTTTACTGCATTATAATGAAAACTGTGTTATTTGCCATCAATTCACTTAAATATGATGAGAGACAAGAAGTTTTTCCATTATATTATGGCTGTTCTGAATATTTATTATAATTAACTATATAGAATACTATATTCTAGTCCCCAAAGTCCTGTTCTAGAAATTCTACTACTATAAACCCAGGTCAATCTTTCTCAGAATCTTTGGACAGTATAAGGAATAATGGTGGTTGTTGGTTGGTGGTGTACTGTATAGGAGTATGTGTATGAGTCGGAGTAGTTTCCGACTCATAGTGACCCTGTGTAGGGTTTCCAAGGATATAAATCTTTACGGGAACAGAAAGCCTCATCTTTCTCCCATGAAACAGCTGGCACTTTCGAACTGCTGACCTCAAAGTTAGCAACCCTACTTGTAAGCACTACACTACCAGAGCACATTCTAAGGGATAATCAGAAAGAAAAAAGAATGAGGCAAATTTTAGTTGCCATTCTTGCTCATGAAAATAACCCCAACATTGGAATCTCTTTTCATCACATATATTATGTCTAAATCAATACCATAAGTAATGTGGAATGGTGCACATTTATACAATAACCTGCATCTCCGGAAGAGTGAAATAAAGTCTAGTTGGTTTTCAAAAGAAATCACACCAAAAAAGTCTTTAAAGTTCTTCAAGTTTATGGATATGAAATATATCCTTCCTGACTATAGTAACTGTTTTAGTTCCCTTTTGATCACACCATTATTAATAACAGAACAGGATAGTTCCCAATTTCAGAAAATGAATAATAGCAGTTAATGCTGTTTAGATTAGCTCTGTTTTGGTTCTAGAAAAGGATCTGTCAGTCTAATGGAAAACAGAAAGTAACCAGTTTTCATCTAATGGAAAACAGAAAGTAACCAATTAATAAAATGATGTAAAAATATTATGTGTTTTGGAAAACATACTCCAAGCCAGTGAGTGATGAGCCTAAATGTACAGACCAGCACATAAGTCTCTTCCACATTAATCAGATCATTGTGGCATGTAAGTTCTCTGTAGGACGTATGTTCTCTCACAATTGCAATCCATCAGCCAATCAATCAATCAATAACAAGCGCAAAATCAAAAGCTTGGTTATTCGAAATTTCATATGTACCAGCTATGCCTAAGGAGCTCTGGTAGCATAGTGGTTACGAGTCAAACTGCTAACCTCAAGGTTAGCAGTTCAAAACTACCAGCTGTTCCACAGGAGAAAGATGAGGTTTTCTTCTCCCATAAAGATTTACAGCCTCAGAAACCCTGTGCAAGGTCACTATGAGTCTGAACTGACTCCAAGGCACACTACCACCACCAGCAGCAGCAGCTATCTTCTGCTTTTATAACTAGAATTGTCTTTTTAATCTTTGTTTTCCAGAATTTTAGTTCTGTTTTTAACTTCGGTGGTGGCAGTTTGTCATTGTTGTCCTTAGTGGACTATGATGCTGTTAAGTTAAAGTGAGTACGTGCAGAACGTTGTTTACAAAATCATTCAGGTATATGATACCAGTCTAAGTATACATTTGTTTTTTCCTACTATGCTGTCTTACTAATGACTTTTACAGGGTGAAAAAGGACAAATGGGACCCACAGGAGAAACTGGAAGCAAAGGTGCTCCTGGACAAATTGGAGAAAGTGGTCCTAAGGGTACCAGAGGAACCAGAGGTGCTGTGGTTAGTATTTGATTTGTTTCCAGAACTGAGTCACTGTGGATGGAAAGAAATGTATCCTTGTCCTTAAAGCTTCATTCCTTGATTAACTTTACAGAGAAAGCAATAGTTCCATTGAAAATAATCTACCTCCATGGAATATGGAGAATTGTAAGCATTCCGCAGTACTTAAGTGGTTTAGTGGTTTCTGGATGTGAAAAGGGAAAGGGAGAGAAAGTAAAAATGGAAATAAAATATGAAATGAGGTTTAAAAAATCAGATTATAACTCCTAAGTAGGAAACTTTATCATATTTTACACAAATAATACACATTTTATAAATGTTTGCATACTATGCAATCACCCACACATTGTTTTCATAGTCACATTATACCAATTATTTTTTTATGTGCTGATGACTTCAATTTCTCTTTCTTTTTATGTCCAATAGCCTGTTGACACAGAGGTTTGCTTTTCAGGAGCAGACCCTCACCATCTTACCCTCCATTTTCTGAAACCACCCTTCTCCTGGCAAGGTTCCTTCCCTGCTCTACAAATCGCTTTTTCAAATATGTGAAGAAATCACTAACACAAGTCACCAGGGAGGCAGGCCCCAGCCCAGGAGGTGGGTTGGAGAGACCATTCAGGCAGGAGGGGGCTAGTGGGCTGCAGTTGCACACATTGTGTCCGACCATCCAGCTGGCCTGAAACCAACTTGGGCCTTTTGAATCTCCTTTTCCTCAGATACCCTGGGGCAGGGATGAGAGGAGTCACATGTCCCTAGTTCAGAAAAGGTGGAGTCAGCTGGGCACCTGAGGGCCTCATTGGGCCAGGGCAGAGGTTGCCCCCACCATACTATACTGATGCCTGGTTTTACAGGGAACCAAAACGATGAGAACTAGGTCTACCCAGGCAACAGCCCCTGCCTGAGGTAGGGGTTAGTTCATGCTCAAGCTGTGTCAGCCCCAGTACTGATCCTCTTCCCATTACTGGCATGATGTACCTGAACACAGATTAGCTACAAAGAACTCCACCACTCACGCCCAGCCACAATGCCCCAGAACAAATGCACCATTTAAATAGCTAATTTTTCAGTTACCAGGGTAATACCCAAGCTCCATTCATGATTTCTTGACCATGCGTATACTTGTATTATACAAATATGATCAAAAGTAACATTTTCAGACTATAGAATGAGTGTGAATGGGGCTGAAAAACCACCTCTAGAAATATCACAAAGCATGCATAATTGTGTACATAAGCACACTAGACCAGAAACTTTTACATTTTTACATAATATTGTCATTTCCACCCATTATATAGGTACATTCATTATTTATGTGGCACACTATTTGGGGGGCGGGGGGTACAGTATATACCTAGATCTTAAAATCAGGATTTAACATCTGTCTAAAGCTATGTTCTTGTGGTTGGCAAATTGCTTTGAAAATTAGGTTTACTTGGAAATGTATTTTCTTTAAATGCTTGAGGTCTACTTGCTTTATCTAGAGATAATTTTTCTACCAGCTGTGCTATAGCTCTAAAACATCCAATTACATCTTTCATCTTTTGCGTGAACTTTGCATGATGTTGGGAGTAAGTGCTGCATGATACTCCTGAACTTATAATAATAAAATTATATTGCTAATATATTCAGACCTGTTCAAAAAGTCACAGCATGGGAGAGATGCAAAAATTCTTAAGAAATTATCCAGTTTAGTATCCTAGCTGTTTCATTAAACTTTATATACATATACTTGAGGAAACTGACAAAAAGCAGGTATATTTCCTGTTGTTCTTAAATGCTGTGGAGTTAATTCCAAGTCAAAGGGACCCTGTACAGGGTTTCCAAGGAATAACTGATGGATTTGAATCACAAACCTTGTAGTTCACAGTTCAGTGCTTTTACTACAAATACATGTGTATTTCATAGTCTCCATTTACATGCGTAATTTCTAGTCTCCATTTAAATGTCACAGTGCTAGAATATCAATGAGGGATTTTGCAGAGCACCTGTTGTCTCAGGAAGGTTTGCCTCTGGGTCATTTAAGCATTCCACTCATGTTGTTAGGTGCCATCCAGTCACTGCCAACTCATAGCCACCGTGCGCACCCAGTCCTGTGCCAACCTTACAATCGATGCTACACTTAAGCCCATTGCTGCTGTCACTGTGCCAGTCCATCTCATTGGGGGTCTCCATCCCTTTCACTGATCCTCCAATTTACCAAGCATGATGTACTTCTACAAAGACTGGGCCTATCTGAATAAGTCTGAGAGACAAAGCCTGACCCTCCTGGCTTCTAGGGCGCATTCTGGTTGTACTTCTTCCAACACAGACTTGTTTTTTTCTTCTTCATGGTACTTTTTATATTCTTCTCCAATACCATAACTCAACTCCATCAATTCTTCTACAGTCATCCTTATTCATTGCCCAACATCCACAGCATATGACAATGTTGAAAATACAATGGCTTGGGTCAGGCATACCTTAGTCCTCAAACTGACATCTTTGCTATTGGAAGATTTACAATATGTCATTTGATATCTTGACTGCTGCTTCCATGAGTGCTGATGGTTGTCTTTGACAACTTTAATCTTTTTTCCATTTATCTTGATGTATTTACCAGTCCAGTGGTGAGGATTTTTGTTTTCTTTATATTGAGATGCAACCCATACTGAACACTGTGGCCTTTGAGACGTGTTCTTATTCATAAAATCCAACTTCTCGGATTATGTGCTCAGCATAAAGATTGAATAAATATGGTAAAAGAATACAACGCTGGCACACACCTTTCCTAATTTTAAACCATTCAGTGTCCCCTTCTTCTGTTCAGGAGCACAATGAAGTGTTCCTGAATACTCAGTCTCTGCAGTGTTGTCCATAGCATTTCATGATCCACATAATCAAAAACATTTTTGTAGCCAATAAAGCACAGGTAAACATCTTTCTGGTATTCTCTGCTCTCAGCTAAGATCCATCTGATGACAGCAGTGGTATTCCCCATTCCACATCCTCATCTAAATCTATCTTGAATCTTTGGCATTTCCCTATTACAGTTTTTTAATCATCTTTTGCAAAATTTTACTTGCATGCAATATTAATGATACTGTCCAATAATCTCCATTGGGTCACCTCTCTTTGGCATGGACACAAATATGGATCTTGTCCAATCAATTGTCCAGGTAACTGTTTTCCAGCTTTATTGGCATAGATTGAGTGAGTGCTTCCAGTGCTGCATCAATTTTTGAAAGATTTCCATTTGTATTCCTTCAATTCCCAAATCCTTGTTCTTCAGTGCCTTGGTTTTTGATCATATGCTACCTCTTGAAATGGTTGAACATTAACCATCTCTTTACAGTATAGTGAATCTTACTCTCATCTTACTACTGCAGGCCTTTTTTTGCTTCTTTTTGTTTAAATTATTATTATTTCTCTGTCCTTGGCTATGTGCTCTAAAACATTATCAATGTGGTTAATTTTAAATAAATACAAGAACTGATAAAACCAAAATATGTTGTTCTTAAGTGCCACTGAGTTGGTTCCGACACACAGTGATCCTATATAGGGTATCCAAGGAGGAGCTGGCGAGTTTGAACCTCCAACCTTGTGGAGGTTCAATTATGGTCCAGTACTTACCTACAGTGCCACACCAGGACTCCACAACCAAAGAATATTACGATGACTTTTCTCCTGCTTTTGATTTTCTCTATAAAAGAACATTTACTTTTCTAAAATTTTTACCCATATTCCCAAACTACCTTCCCAAGAGGTTTCATCAAATTTACACCCCTACTACCAGCACTTGATAATTAATCTTTTTGATGTTTACCAATTTGATAAATGAAAATATGTAGCTCATAGTTGTTTTTATTTACATTTTTCTGACTGCAACTAAAGAGCTTCTATTTTCTCTCTGGAAGTTACCTGTTTATATATCCTTTAAACATTTTTATCCATTGGGCTATTAATCTTTTTCTTGTTGATTTGTAGTAGCTCCTTATATATTTTAAATACTACTGTTTATTTGTTATGTATGTTGAAAAATATATTATAAATGTTGTTTTCTTTCTATTACTTCTTTCCATTTTATTTATGGTGTTTTTAGCGTTCAGACTGATTAAATATTTACATAGTTATAATTACCAGCCATTTCCCTTATAGTTTCTGGGTGTTATTTCTTCTTTGAAGTTCTGGTGTGGCACTGTAGGATAAGCACTGAACCACGAGGTCAGTTTAAACCACAAGGTCGGTGGTTCAAACCCACTCAGCCCTCCTCAGACACTCTATACAGGGTCACTATGAGTCGGAACTGACTCCATGGCACTTAACAACATTTCTTCTTTAGAAATATCTTCCATACTGTAAATATATAAAAATATTTTTCCATATACTTCTTATACCTTTACCATTAACTCTTAAAGCCACATGGAGTCTATTTTTTGTTGTGCTATAAGGAGCTCTGGTAGCGTAGTGGTTACGAATCGGGCTGCGAACCGTAAGGTCAGCGGTTCGAAACTACCAGCCGCTCCGCGGGAGAAAGATGAGGCTTTCTACTCCCGTAAGGATTTACACCCTTGGAAACCCTGTACAGGGTCGCTATGGGTCGGAACCGACTTGACGGCACTTAACAACAACAACAACATGAGATGTAAGATGAATTTTCTGTTTCCAAATGATAGCAATACTATTTATTGAACACTCAATCTATTTCCCACTTTTCTGTAATGCTACTCCTGCAATAAACCGCATGTTTAAATATTCATTAGTCAGTTTCCATTCTTTCTCTTTTCTTTTGTTACTCTGTCAGTCTGTTCTTAGGTCAATACCACACTAGTTTAATTATTAGACATTTAAAGCATATTTTGACCTCTGTTAGGGAAAATACTCTTCAATTCTTTGTGGGGTTTTTTTCTTCTTCAATTCTTTAGAATCAACTCTAGTTTCAATTATATTGAATCTTTCTGTAGAAAAACACAATAAATTATTCCACATAATCATATCTTCTCATATACCCTTCATGGACATTTTACTGTTCCTTTTATCTCTATTCTTACACTTTTCTTATCAGACTTATACTTAACTTTTTATTCTTATTGTTAATGGAATACTTTTTCAATTACATTTTTCATATTGATCATTACTCTGTCTAAGAAATCTATGTAATTTTATATTTTTATCTTAATCTTTAATGAATGTAGGTGATTCTCTGGAGTCACCTCTTCTTTCTTGCCTTATTACATTGATTGGAGCTTCTGGTACATGAATAAATAGAAGTGATAATGGGGAAATTTTTTTGTACCTTCTTAGTGAGAATGCTTCTAATATTTCATTTTCAAGTATTATTTGTAATTATTTTAGAGCATGTTAGAGTTTTGTTAGTTTAAAAAGATTTCTTTCCTTTCTTAGGTGAGAATGTAAATCAAGAGTAGTTGTTGGGTTTTATCAAATTCTTTTAAACATCTGTTTAGATAATTTCATGTTTTTTGTCCTTTATTTTGTTATTATAAGGAAATGCAACACTGAATTTCCAAATTTTGAAGCAATCATGAATTCCTAGGATTAAACTATACTTAGTCATGATTACACTATTCTCTTACTAGGGCGGGATTCTATTTTCTAAAGTTTCACTTATGTTTTAATTTAGTTTAGCTTATTTAGTGTTTCCCAGAATTTTTGTGTATATGTTTATAAGATTAGTCTACACTTTTTTAAATGTGTAACTATTCTTATTACATTTGGGTACAAGAATTGAGTAAACCTTATAAAACGAGTTGGTAAAATTTTCATATTTTTCTGTGCTCTGTAGCAGTTCAGAAATATAGATATTATCTGTTCTTCAAAGATTTGGATATAGTTTTCCTTTAAAACAATCTGGGTCTGACAGGTTTTTTTTTTGTTTTTTTTTAGTAGTATGTCTTAGGCATCTTTCACAAATTTTCTATCGCTTCATGAATAAACTTGTTAATGTGTTTTTTGTCTAAATTTGAAATTTTCATCTGTTTTTATCTAGAATTTGAAGTTTAATATTTATGAGTACTATTTCATTAGAATTTTTAAAAGCTTTGTGTCTATGGTTACATCTCATTCTTATTCCAAATATTGTTTTAGTGTCTGCTCTTCATTTTAATGAGATTTGTCAAAGATTTGTTGTTTTTTTAATCTGTACTCTTTTTTTCACTCATTTTATTGGTTCTATTATTTCATTTTGGACTCCTGGTGTGGTGCTGTAGGATCAGCACTGGACTGTGAACCAATTCAAGGTAGACAGTTCAAACTCACTAGTTGCTCCTCCGAAACCCTATACTGGGTCACTATGAGTCAGAACCGACTCGACAGCGCTTAACAACAACAACAACAATTATTTCATTTTGGAGTCCTGGTGTGGTGATATAGGATAAACACCAGACCATAAGGTCAAATGTGCAAACCCACCAGTCACTCCTCAGAAAACCCTGTACGGAGTCGCTGTGACTTGGAACTGACTCGACAACACTTAGCAGCAATTATTTCATTTGGGCTGCTAACCACAAGGTCAGCAGTTTGAATTCACCACCTGCTCCAGAAGACTGACTACCTGCTCCCATAAAGACTGATGGTCTCAGAAACCATATATAGGGTCACTGAGTTGGAATCACTCAATAGCACTTGGTTTTGATTGGTTATTGTTTCATTAATTTATGCTTTGACTAATATTAATGACTTCTTCCTATTTTCTTTAGGTTTCTTTAATGACTTTTTTTTTTTTTGTCTCCCTGAATTAAATACTAGTTTGTTTACTTGTCAATTTCTATAATTTCACTAACAAGTACATATGGCACTAGCTGTTTTCTTCCATCATGTAGACTGATAATGCTGCAGCTGTCCAACACAATCAGGGGAACAGAAGGTCCTTCTAAACTCGCTGTTCTGATTCCTTCCCTCAATGAAACACCCTGATTATTGCACTGGCTCTGTCCTGCCCCTGAAATCTGTTCTTTTCTGAATTTGAAATTTCTTTGAGACCAAATCCACATCTGTAACAATTTTCTTTTTAACCATGTTTTCAGCTCTAGTTTCCTCTCTCAAACCACAGAGTTTTGGTCCACTGATAATTTACTGGTTTTATTATAAACAAGTTACCATGAGCAAACAAACAAATAAATAGCTTTCTTTTCAGAAATATTTTTAGATGGGTCTGCAACGTAAGCATATTTCATCCAGTCATCTTGATTCAATATGCACCAGCTTACAGCAGGGTCAGCTGTTCAAATTCACCAGCCAAACCTCTGAAACCCGATACAGGAGGGCTGTCGCTATGAGTTGGAACCAACTCGACAACACTTAACAACAAACAACAATTACAGAACTTTGGTAGCTTTTTAAATATTATTTTCCATTAGTAGCTTATGTGGCACTGTAGGATAAGTGCTAGACTGCTAACCACAATGTCAACAGTTCAACCTCACCAGCAGCTCCTTGGAAATTCCATACAGGGTCACTATGAGTCAGAACAACATTATGTAGTTACATTCTGGCCTCAATTTTCCACCTAATGAATGGCTGAATTCTCAGTATATTTTTTTTTATTTATTTTGTAAAGCTCTTTTTTTAGACTGAAAACTTGCCTTAACTGAATGCATCTAAATTTACTGCTTAATAATACAATACTTACTGAAAATAACTAACTGTACTAATAATTAAATATGGACTCTTTTTAGAGCTGAGACTTTCAAGAAGGCATCACATATAGTGAAGTAGTATGTTCATATGAGGACTATTAAGAATCAGGAGATGTTAGGCAAGTCACATATCTACTTTATATCTTAATTTCCTCATCTCTTATTTGTTTTCAGACACAAATAGGATCATTGATGTGGAAACTTCTTGATAGTATGAAAAATAGGAAATTTTAGGAATATTATTTTTGTTTTTTCTTTTCGATTATCTGAGTCACCTTTTCTATAGGTTATGGACACTTATTCATTAGCCTTTAACTTCCATGATTTCCTCATTTGTAAAATATTGATAAGAGTAATCTTGGAGTGATAATTACCTATAATTATCACTGCTAACCATTTCTGTTAACAGCTTTAACCAGGACTCAAATCATATTCATAAAAGCATTTAAAGCTATTAATGAGTATGGAGTTTTTGTATAAAAAATCAACATTTACTCCCTAATAATCAGTTATACACATCTACCACAAACTTTGAAAGATACAAATGACTTTTTAAGAATTTTCCAAAAACAAAAAAGATTCCGACTCCTTAAAATATTTTTCTTAATATGATTAAGAATGTTCATATCAAAAGTACACCAAAGAGAGTTGTTTTTTGGTTTTTTTCTTTTTTGTTTTTATGAGACCTTTGTGATTTAGAAGAAAAGTAAGACAAAAGTTGAGTTTGTTTGTGTATTTGTTTTCCCATTTCAGATTAAGTAGAATTTCATATCATGAAAAAGCTAAAGGGAACAATTTAAATAATAGAAGTTTAAATTCAATAATTTAAACATCTGTTGTCTCACTAATATTTACTTTGTTTTATAGGGTCAGTTAGGACTGATGGGTCCCAAAGGAGAACCAGGAATTCCAGGATACAGGGTAAAAAATTCTAATTGGAAATATGAGAGTATTTTTGACTGAAAGCACTTATGTCAAAGATGTTATGCCACATAGGCAAATTAAGATGTCATTTCCCTGATCAAGCTTTCTAAATGTTTAGGCCTCATCCTCCTATAGTTAATTCCATCGAGTGGGCTCTAATGCATGGCAACCTATGTATAACAGAACAAAATGCACTGTTTCCCTATGAAGTATATCCTACTTTTCATTTCCAAATGCAATAGTTCAATAATAGTATGGGCAGTAGAGTTCGGTAGAGTGTGTACAAATGATAAGGAAATTTCTACTCACTTGTCCTTTTTATAGGGCCATCAGGGTCAACCGGGACTTTCTGGGTTGCCAGGACCTAAAGGAGAAAAGGTATGTGTGTATTTGTTGTTGTTGTTGTTGTTGTTGTTAAGTGCCATTGAGTCGATTCCGACCCATAACAACCCTGTATAGGGTTTCCAATGAGATGCTGGTGAGCTTGCAAACAGTTCAAACAGCTTTGCAGTCTGGTGCATTAACCCACAGTGCCACACTGCCTTTTAAATCCCTAAAGTAAAACCTTGAATTCATTAATTTTTTCTGAAAAAGGAATGAGTGGAAATATTCTCAAAGTAGAAAAGAATCATTTTTCAACTTGGGAGGAATTACAGAAAAAGGAAAAAATATGTGTATATTTGTATATACATATCAGGGTGCTAAAATTTTAATAAATAATCAAATCATCTCCACATTTGTTTTAAGATTAAGGTAAAATAACATATGTTAAAATGCTTTACAATCTGTTGTTGTTGTCCTGAAGTGCCATCCAGTCAACTCCGACCCACAGTGACCCTGTATAGGGTTTCTGAGGAGCAGCTGGTGAGCCTGAGCTGCCGACCTTGCAGTTCAAATTGACTTTTTGAAGTCTGGCACATTTTACCACAGCATCATACCAGGATGCCTTACAATCTGTAAAGCTCTGTAAAAGCAAAATTCATTGCTTGTTTATAGCACTTGTAAGGCTGTAGGTTAAATAACTAATTATACTACATTTATATGAAAATATTCTGATGACTTTGGAATAACAACAATAGTTCTCTGGATTTGCAAAATCATTGAAAACTTAATTATTTGAGGAAATTGCCAAGCTGTTTTTATATAATAAAAGTGGATTGGCACTTACAAGCAAGAGATATAAACTGTGTATAAAATGTCAAATGCTTAGTAAAAGTTTTCTGCTTAAAGAAGATAAAGCCCGATTACATATTTTCTAATATGTTAGGTAGTAATAGGCTGCATATTTTAAAAGGCTATTTAAGTAATTTGGTTGTGTTTTAAATCATTATTTTCATTTTAGGGTTACTCGGGAGAAGATAACACAGTCCTAGGACCTCCTGGGCCTCGAGGTGAACCAGTAGGTCTTTTTCTAAAAATTATTTTGATGATTCAAGATAAGATGCAATTATTATAATAGGTTCATAAAACTAATCTCATCTTTTCAAAGACTTTTATTTTCTTAGTTTTGTAACATGTTGATAGGGAAGCATGATTTGTAATCATAAAATCTAAATAATATGAAAGTTTTACATATAAAAAATCTAGCTCAAGATCCTTAACATATAATACATATATATTTAATACATGGATTTCCCAAGTCTAATTTAGAGCACTGAATGCATACTATAGACATTTTAAGACAGGTGTTACTTAAATCATAGAATTCAAATTTATTTCTAAAGTACTAAAAAATCTGATTGTATACTTTTTATAGAAGTTTACACATAATTACCAAGTGATTTCAAAACACTATAACAGATTATTAGACCAAGATACAGTCTTCTAATTAAGAATGTTAAGGACTAACTTTAAGCACAGTTTTTTTGAAAAGTAGTTGTTCTCATAACTCTGATGATCTGAATAACTAGCCCTGTGTTAAACCTGGATTAAACAACATCTAGTTAATGCATTGGACTGCAAGGTGGGTTTGAATTGCAAGGTCGGTGGTTCAAGCTCACAAGTTTTCCTTGGAAACTCTATACAGGGTTGCTATGAGTCAGTACCGAATCAAAGGCACTTAACAACAACAAAGGATATATGCAAACTAAATGTGTAAAATAAAATATTTACTTCTTTGAAATAAACTTAATTGGCTAAATTTTCTATTTTTTTACATAATTATTATGATATAGAATTTTTAAATCCTAAGGCAGAAGACTAGGAATATGTAGTGACTCTTGACAGTTTTGTTTTATCCTTTGGAAATAATTTTAGTTTAGAAATAAACAGGGTAAGAGTGTAGAATTTTCTGATTAATCAAACTATCTCATGTACCATTTTTCACAAATAATACACCCATGCAAATAGCATGTACATGCATAATAATGTGTGCAACACACATAAGAAACTAACATTAGAGGGTTATGCAGTTTGAAAAAAACGGACACTGCATGTTATTTGCTTAAAAAGATAGCAAGCCATCTCAACTTATCCATAAAAAAATAATATGGTAATGAGGTTCTTCAAATATGTTCCTCAAGCCTCCAAAAAAGAGAAAGAATATGAAAATAATGCAAAAGTGTAAATACAAATTGAAGAAACATTGGCAAGTGGAATATAGCAGTGGTTACTTTTCTCCAGATTCAGATATGCTGGGGTGAAAGAAAGTCACATGAAATACAAATATATTAAAAGTCTGGTAGCGTAGTGGTTACGAATCGGGCTGCGAACCTAAAGGTCAGCGGTTCGAAACTACCAGCCGCTCCGCGGGAGAAAGATGAGGCTTTCTGCTCCCGTAAAGATTTACAGCCTCGGAAATCCTTTACAGGGTCGCTATGAGTCAGAACCGACTCCATGGCATATAACCACCAACACCCACCATTATCAGAATTAGTTAAAATTCATCAATTCATGCTCAAGAACAAATTTTATGAAACTTTATCCACATCAAAATTAGTTTAAATTTATCAGTTCATGCTCTACAATAAGTTTTACTATTTTGCAACTAATTTCAATTTGAGTATCTCTTAAGACAGTAGTGGTGGTGGTGGTTATGTACCGTGGAGTTGGTTCTGACTCATAGTGACCCTGTACAGGGTTTCCGAGGCTGTAAATCTTTACTGGAGCAGAAAACCTCATCTTTCTTCCGCGGAACAGCTGGTAGTTTCGAACTGCTGAACTTGTGGTTCGCAGCCAATTCATAACCACTACACTACCACAGTAGGTCCTAGTAGACAATAGCACATGTTTTAAATGTAGTTTGTAGTTGATCATTTTAGCAGTTTATCATATCAAAATATTTTAAATTTAAAATGGTTGTTGTTGTTGTTGTTAAGGTTATTCAGTCGGTTCTGACTCATATAACTGAGACCCTGTATATGGCTGAAAATCTTTTCGAGAGCAGAAAGCTTTATCTTTCTCACACAAAGCAGCTGATAGACTCGAACTGCTGATCTTGTAGTCCACAGACCAGTGCTTATTCTACAAAGCCATCATGCTCCCTTAAAAGGGTTGGAAAAGTTAATAAGTAGGAATTTAGTAGATTACTTTCTATGTTGAGGAGTAAAATAATAAGTACAGTTTCTATTAGGTTAATTCATGCCTTGAGAATTCAAATTTTCATGGATTAAAGAATAAGCAATAGAATTTCTGGTGAGTGTTGGTAAAGGAAGATTAATTATTAAATACCTCTTAAAATATTTAAATATAAGTATATATAATTAATGTTGTTAATTAATTGGAAATACCTGTTTAAATTTTGTCCATCATTTTAACATGTGAAAATACATCTGAAAAATCATGTTTTTAAATTGAACTTCATATCTTCAATATTGTTCCTGGCAGAATTATTATGTAATTCTCTTTCTATAGTTCTGTGCTTTGTATATTTTAATGACATTCTTGGTGTTACTGAAATTCAGTCCTTAGAAATTATTTAGTAGAACTAAATATATTACTGTGCATTTGATTTATGTTGATTTATGCCATTTTTTCAATATTTTGGGATAAAGAATAACTCCAACTCATTTTTTATCATCTTCATTTATGCATATTTAGATCCAGTTGTAAAACAGATTTTTTGTTGTTTGTGGTCTCTGTAGGGTCCAGTAGGGGACAGAGGAGAAAGAGGAGTGCCTGGAACAGAAGGTTATAAGGTAACTGCTAGAAAGTTACATACCTTACTTGTAAATTAGAATAGGGTTCTCTGTGATTCTACTCAGTTTCAAATGAAAATGAGCTTAATCGAGATACTTATTGTTGTTAAGTACTGTTGAGTCAGTCCAACTCATAGCAACCCCTATGGACAACAGAACAAAACTGAGATATTTACCAACGTCTCCTTTTTTATTATCGTCTAAGAAGTCTAGCTCTTCGTACTGTATGTTCCTTCTTCCTGCAATCATCTTTCCTATCTCCTTCCACCGGTGCATTGTTGTTTCTTTCTTTCTCATAGTTTGGATCTCCGCTGAAAAGTAACTTCCTGAGAATCCTCCTCCAGCTGCCCTAGCTAAAATAAATATGCGAGCCATCACTTTATATCATATTACCAATTCCTTCCTGGCATTTAGTGCTATCTAAAATATCTTAATTACTTTCATATACTCATACTCATTTCTTTGTTTATTGACTGTCTTCCCCTACTTAAATGTAAGATCCATGAGAACAGGAATCTGTCTGTCTTTTTCATTATTATAACCCTAATGTCTAGAACACAAAGTTTCTGGTATATAGTAGGAATTCAATAAATAACTGTAAAACAGATAGATGAATGTCATTATGCTCTCAAGCCTTACGTCAATTTGTATCATCTTTTATTACTTAGAAGGATTTTATGAGGTCAGCTTGATCAGCCGAAATTATATTAGCCACTATGTCAGAATTTAGTGTGTCCATTTTTATGTGCTCATTGATGTTAAGAATGTTCTGTAATCCTGCCTTGTTTCTCTTCCCCTCCATTTACAACGTCAGTTGCTAAACAAAATGGTCATCTGCTAACTTGGTCCCTTATAGTTCCTATCTTATTTCTTTGCACAACATTCCCTACCATATTCTTCCTCATCTTCACTTACATGTATCTGTCCTTTCTTACATAACTGAGACTCCATTTTCCTTTGACCCACTCTTATATGACTAACAGTAATCCTACACCACTTGTCTGTTTGTCGTACTGTGGTAGCTTGTGAGTTGCTGTGATTCTGGAAGCTATGCCATGGGTATTTTAAATACCAGCAGAGTCACCCATGGTGGACAGGTTTCAGATGAGCTTCCAGACTAACACAGACTAGGAAGAAGGAGTGACAAACTACTTCCAAATATTTAGTCACTGAAAACCTTACGAATAGCAAGAAACACTCAGATACAGTGTCGGAAAATGAGCCCCTCAGGTTGGAAAGAGCTCAAATGCAACTGGGGAAGAGCTGCCTCCTCAAAGTAAAAGAGGAAGACCCCAGCAAGATGGATTGGCAAAGTGACAGCATCAGTGGGCTCAAGCGTGGCGACAATTGTGAGGTTGGCCCAGGACCAAGCAGTGTTTTGTTCTGTTGTACATAGGGTTGCTATGAGTGGCTACCGACTCAATGGCACCTAACAACAACAAATAATCCTACCCTCTTCTATGGTCCTGTATTACTTATTGTTTATATCATGATTTATAAGTACATTATACTGTCTTCTTTTGATAATTTACATGCTAATTATTTTAAGGTGCAGGTGCCTTTTTGCCCCAATTTGAATGTGACTTCTTTCTTTTTTATGCAATATTTAGTTCTGACCCATGTACATAATAGGTTTTAAAATAATGAACTGATGAGTTAATTGACCCAATACGCCCCTCTGTTGTTAAGTGCCTTGAGTCAGTTCTGACTCATACTGAACTTGTGTAGGGCTAGCGAGTTTAAACTGCTGAGCTTTTGGTTAGCAGTCCAGTGCTTATCCTACAGTGTCACACCTGGACTATATACACGCCTCTATCAAGGTAAAATTTCTGTGATTATGTCTGAAATGGGCACTTAAATAAACCAGCTTGTAGTTGATGATTAATAACCTGATTTTCTCAAGGCAAAGGAATCTGGAATACTTACTTCTACACCTTAAAGCTATCTTTGAAGAAAATGTTGACAGTATTTATGAATGTCTGTGAAATTTTTGTGATGACCATTTTATTCTTTTGTATTTTTAGAGCTTTTTAAAAACTGTTATATATGTTCTATATCTAATTTACATAACATTTGGATATGCTAGTATCTTGAATCCTATCCCATGGATTTATTTGAGATTGCCTTTTTGGGAGTTGAAAAGCCAATCCAACTGCTTCCAGCATAATTTGAAGAGCCTTTTGAACTTCCTTAGCCAGATATGTGCATGATTTCACATAGTCTCCGAAAATCAGGTTCTTGCAATATATTCTTTTGTCCTCTACCACCTACAAAATATTTTATAGCTTAATCAACGTAAACAAAACAAAACAAAAAAAAACTAGTTGCTATAGAGTCTATAGAACTGTGCTCCATAGGCTTTCCAGTGACTGTTTTTTCACAAGTAAATCATCAGGACTTACTTCTGGGGTACTTCTGGGAAGTCCCAAACCTCAAATCTTTTGATTTAGCAGTTATGAGTGTGTGCTAACCAGTTATGCCACCCAGAGAATCCTAGCTTAATCAGTATAGTTTCTGGAAAATATCTTCAATTACCAGAAGAAAAACTCTGCCTGCATTACTCTGCACAGTCAGATGTTCTTCTGAAAGTCTTCATCAGAAACTTCTCCTTAGTCTAATTATAGGACCTATTCCTCTCTCCTCATTCCACATATTCTCATGATGACATTTTCAGTTGTAAATATTTCACAAACCAGTTTTATCTACATCTTCTTTTCTGTCTGATATCATCCTATCTCTTTCGGTTGTTGTTGTTTTTGAGTTTCGTAAAATTGGTGCTGACTCATAGAGACCCTGTATTGGATTTCCAAGGAATGGCTGGTGAGTTTGAACCACTGACCTTGTGTTCCAGTGCTTTTCTTACAGTGCCACACCTTAGGTTTTAGCACTCGCTTTATCATTTATTGATGGATCTGCTCTAAATAGATTGTCTCTGAAAACCACGAGATTATTGCTTAAACATCTGAAAATCATGAAATATCCACAGTTCTGTGCCAAGTCTTCCCAAGCACAATTTTATCCAAGTATTTTTTTTTAAATCCTTGCTTTTCTATATGTACACATATTGTACAAAATAAGTAAAATTTTGCTGATTATAATTTTTAACTGATTACAGCATTATACCAAAAGGGAGTTGCTAGTAATTCAAGATGGATTCAGAATAGGTTGTAGAACAAGGGGTTTCATTGCTGATCACAGATAAATCATGGATGAAAGCAGGGAATACTAGAAAGATATTTACCTATGTATTGTTGACTATGCAAAGGCATTCAACCATATGGATCATAACAAATTATGGATACCATTATGAAGAATGGAAATTCTAAAACATTCAATTGTGCTTATGCAGAACCTTTCCATAGACCAATATGCAGTTGTTCAAACAGAACAAAGGGTACATTGTGATTTAAAATCAGAAAAGGTGTGTGTTAAGGTTATAGCCCCCCTCACCATACTTATTCAGTCTGTATGTTGATCAAATAACTTGAAAAGATGGACTATCTGAAGAAGAACATGACATTAAGGTTTTAGGATTGGAGGAAGGTTCATTAACAACCTGCAATATGCAAATGATCCAACATTGTTTGCTGAAAGCTAAGAGGACTGGAAGCACTTACTGATGAAGATCAAAGACTGCAGACTTCAGTACGGCAGATTACACGTCAATATAAAGAAAACAAAAGTCTAGACAACTGAACCAATAAGCAATATTATAATAAACAGAGAAAATACTGAAGTTGTCAAGCATTTCATTTTACTTAGATTCATAATCAATGCCACAATCAAGCAGCAGTGAAGAAGTCAAATGATGCATTGCATTGGGTAAACCTGTTGCAAAATACTTTTGTGTGTGTGTGTGTGTACTTTTTGTTGTGAATTGAATGAAGGTTTACAGAACAGATCATCAGTTTGACATCCAACAATTCAAATACATTTTATGGGATTGCATTGCTTTCTCCTCAATGTAGCATCATGGATCCCACTTCCTCCCTGTGCTTCCTGTTTCCATTCCTCCTTCTTTCCTAAACCTTCTGAACATTGTTCTTGGATAAATGGGCCCTTTTCATTTCAAATGGCTGATTATCCCAAGGTGTGCATACCTCACTAGTGTTGTTATTCCCCTTATAGACCTATTGTTTGGCTGAAAATTGAGCCACAGGGGTGAGTTCCATTCCAGCCTTGAAGGGTGACTGAGGACCATAGCTTCAGGGGTTCCACCAGTCTCTATCTAATTCCTGAGCCTGGCTTCTATTATAATTTTGAGTTTGTTCCATATTTTTCTATTCAGGACTTTCTAATGTGGTCCCTTTCAGACTATTTGATACTGGTATACAGGCACCATGTAGTTCTTCTGTTTTCAGGATCATGAGATCCATTAGTCCATTGGACTAATTGTCTCCATGTGTCTTTTGATTTTCATCATTCTTTTTCCCTCTGGACAAGGAGAGAACAATAGTTGCACTTAGATGACCACTCACAAGCTTTCAAGACCCCAGTTGCTACTCATCAAAGTAAGATGGAGAACATTGTCTTTTTGTATTTTGTTATGCCGGTAGACCATGATGTCCCCAAAGACTATGGTCCTGAAGCCGTAGGCCCAACAACTCATGCCCTCACAGTGCTTGTTATATCTACAAAGTTTTCATAACTTTGCCCCTTGTATGTTCTACCACATTCATGGATGTACTTGCAGTAAAGGTAAATACCTATGTACAAATATCCTCTGTCAAACCCAGATGTATGTGTGGGTATGCTCCCATTCCCTTCCCACACAGTTTCATCCTGTCTATTCATGCATCTGCTGGTAGATCATCATTATTGCAGGATCATGCATATAACAGCATTCACTTCAGTTTCTTTAATTCTAGCACTCCCCTCAGTGTCTTATGCCACCTCCATCTCTCTTCACCTTCCACATGGGGTAAACATCAAAAAAATGTTTCTTTTACTGTGAAACCTTTACTTGACTCTTTATGATAGTGTTCTCATACAATATTTGACCTTTTGTAATTGACTAATTTCACTCAGCATAATGTCCTCCGGGTGCGTTCTCTTCAAAGTGTTAAAAAAAAGCAAATATGTCACTCTGAGGACTTAGAAACGACTGACCCAAGCCAAGTTATTTTCAGTTGCCTCATATTCATGCAGAAGCTGGACAGTTAATAAAAAAGACTGAAGAAGAACCAATGCCTTTGAATTATGGTGTTAGCAAAGAATATTGAAAAGACCATGGATTGCCAGAAGAGTGAACAAATCTATCTTGAAAGAAGTATAACCAGAATGCTTCTTAGAAGCAAAGATGGCCAGACATTTTTTTAAAACGCTTTTATTGTGCACTGAATGATAGTTTATATGAGAGAACATCAGTTTTGCACTCATCCTGTCATATTTCATATCAATGCAATGATTGCAATCCACTCCATGCATTACCATTCAACAGTATTTGCTTCTTTTCCCTCTGGGTTTTTTGTTGTTGTTGTTTATAAAGATGGGAAGACTTTGTCTCACATACTTTGGATATGTTATCAAGAGGGACCAGTCCCTGGAGAAGGGCATGATCCTTGGTAAGGTAGATTTGGTGAAAAAGAGGAAGACCCTCAATGAGATGGACAAGCACAGTGACTGCAACAATGGACTCAAACACAGGAGCAGATCCTGTAAGGATGGCGCAGTCTGGGCAGTTATTCGTTCTGTTGTACATAGGGTCACTTTGAGTTGGAACTGTCTCCAGAGCACCTAACAACATTAGGAAGTCGAAACTTAGTATAAACATTTGCCTCACAGAATGCAAACAAAGACGTCTCACTGATCTTTCTGTGAGAATAAATATTGCTAGCCTAAGTATGCAACCCCTTCTTCTACTAATCCAGAAAAAGATGAGTTTGATAAATCACTTTCCTAAGGCATTCTTTGTGTAACATTCAAAGAGTAGAAAGAAAGGAATCTGAGGTGAAGAGGACAGTAGGGAAGGGGATAAAAGAGATTACTTGTGGAATTCTTCCTGTGTAACTTTCACCTGACATGCCCATGGGTTGTTGGTAGTTTCTGTTTACACAGTTGAAAAGGGAAATGTGGTAGGTCAACATTCCTTAGTAGAATTAGGATGATGACAGATTGCTGCAGGTCAGAGTCATTTGATGTTTCTTGGCATTATATGCAGTAACTTTTCCAGTCTTCAGTGCAATAAATCTACTATCCAAAGGCTATGAATTTAGTTTGTAAAAACGAAGACCATAGTGCACTCCTACAGTATGAATAGTTTGAAAAAAAGAAATTTGCACTCAACCTCTTTATTACTTTGTTTATTGACTATATTAGTGTCCTGAAGCTACCATAACAGATTAAACTGGGTGGCTTAAAACATCAGAAATGTATCCTATCACAATTCTGGAGTCACAGGCCTGAAATAAGATGTTGGCAGAGCCACAATCCCTCTGAATGCTGTAAAAAACAATCTTTTCTTCTCATGGGTGTTGATATCCTTTATGTCTACAAACTCCAATCTCTGTGTCTGTCTATATGTGACCTTCTATGACTACCAGCCGCTCCGCGGGAGAAAGATGAGGCTTTCTACTCCCGTAAAGATTTACACCCTCGGAAACCCTGTATAGGGTCGCTATGGGTCGGAACCGACTCGATGGCACTTAACAACAACAACAATGTCATCTGTACCTGTCTCCTGCAGTATGTCTTTTATAAGGGACACTTGTCATTGTGTTTAAGCCTACCTGGATAATCCAATATGATCTCATTTTGAAAACTTTTGCATCGTTTTATCTACAAAAACATTATATCTAAAAAACCCTTTTTCCAAGTAAGGCACATTCATATATTCTGAAGATTAAGAGTTGGAGTGCCCCTCAACACACTACATTAATTCACTTACATGAGAAAACAAACCTTTGCTGTCTCTCAGTCATCATTGTGTCCAGTAGCTACTATAATCTATCATATTTCTAAGAAAGAATCAGAATTTCTACGATACTGTAAATCAAATAATACAACACAATGCTACCATTTTAAGTGATACTATCCTATCCTTTCAGTCACATGTCTTTACTATAATAATATAATCGTTTCTATTCCTAGGGTCATGTTGGTGTACCAGGACCAAGAGGTGCCACTGGACAACAAGGGCCCCCAGTAAGTTTTGAATTCTTTGTAATGCTGGCATTTAAAGAAAAAAAATAGTTGACATTAATGTAATTACATGGTCCCTGCTTCACATGTGATTTCTGTTTTGGTTCCTTTTAAAGGGCGAGCCAGGTGAACAGGGTGAACAAGGACTAAAAGGAGAGAGAGGACCTGAAGTAAGTTGAAATTATTTAAGACAAATTGACATTGATTACATTTGAGAAAGCAGGAACATAGGAATTTATTTACTGTAATAAAATGATAATTCACGTCTCTCTCCAGAGCTACAGGCATATAAATGGACTGTTTGTCAATAACTGCTAAAACATGATTATTGATTGATTAGATGTTTTGATTGTCATCCATATTTCCCTTTACTGGAAGGCTACTGTTCACGCTGGCATTATGACAATTGCGTAAGGTTATTTGAAAGAGAAATACCAGTGAGCCTGAAATCCAGTAATGCAAAGTAAAAAGCATATCGATCAAACTGTTTATGTGTTTTAGTAAGGTAGGGATGAAACTAGTAGTTCAACTATATGACGCAGACTCACAATTGATGTAAGAGACTTTATTTCATAAGATAAATTAATAATTTGGCATCAAGCAAGCCAAAAGTCTATTGATTTACTGAATTTTGTCTTCTCTTTCTCTGTATATTAACTGATACTACCTCAACATAACAAAGCTAAATTGATTTTGTCATTTGCGCCATCAGTTCACTGCTGGCCTGCTTTCATGGCATTCTGGCTTCAAGTACTAGTGATTTTAATTCCTAAGAAAATGTCAGTATTATAATAATGTCAAAAATTGATAAAAATTAATTTATCTGGAATAATGTTTCTTCTGATTTTTAAGTAGGTTTACCCCTACATAAATGAGAGATGCATCTTCCAACACTATATCAGATAATGTTCCACTTCTATTCCACTGAAACTCAAAAGATTTTCAGTGACTAATGTTTCAGAAGTGGTCAGACCCTCCTTCTTCCTAGTCTTTCTTATTCTGGAAGCTCCCCTAAAACCTGTCCATCATTGGATGACTCTGCTGGTATTTAAAATACATCGGTATTTTAACATACAAAAAGGACCACAGTACACAAACTACAGATGAGGAGTAACTCTTGAATGAAAGCAGAGAACACCAGAAAGATGTTTACTTCTGCTTTATTGACTATGCACAGTCAAAGGCATTTGACTGTGTAGACCATAAAAACTAAAGATAACATTGTAATGAACGGAAATTTCAGAACACTTAATTATCTTCATGAGGAAACCGTACATAGACCAAGAGGCAGTTCTTAGAAGAGAGTAAGGGGATACTGAATGGTTTTAATTTAGGAAAGGTCTGTACCAGGGTTGTATCCTTTCACCATACTTATTCAGTGTTTATGCTGAGTAAATAATCTGAGAAACTAGATAATATGAAAAACATAGCATTAAGATTAGAGGAAGACTCATTAACAACCTGTCATATGCAGATGATACAACCTTGCTTGCTGGAAGTGAATAGGATTGGAAATACTTACTGATGATGATCAAAGACTACAGCCTTCAGCATGGAATGCACCTCAATGCAGAGACATGAAAATCCTCACAAGCAGACCAATAGATAACATTATGATGGGGAAAAGATTGACATTGTCAAAGATTTCATTTTATTTGGATCCACAATTAACATTCATGGAAGCAGAAATCAAGAAATCAAACAACATGTTGCCTTTGGCAACTATGCTGCAAAAGATCTCTTTACAGTGTTCAAAAGCAAAGATGTCACTCTGAGGACTACAATGCCCCCAACATAAGTCATGGCATTTTCAATCACCTCAGACTCATGTGGAAGTTGGGTAATGAATCAGTTAAACTGGATAAGAATCAATGTGTTTGAATTATGGTGTTGGAGAAGAATATTAGAAGTACCATGGATGACAAAAGGAACAAATCTGTTTTGGAAGAAGTACAGTTGTATTCCTCCTTTAACTCTAGTACTTTGGACCTGATAACAGGAAGAACCAGTCCCTAGAGAAGGACATCATGTTTGGTAAAGTGTAGGGTCAACGAAAAAGAGGAAGACCTCACCACCACCACCCCCAGGAACAGTGGCTGCAACAGTGGACTCAAATGTAACAATTATGAAGGTGGCACAGGACCAAGCCAGTGTTTCTGTTACTCATATGGTTGTTATTATTCGAAACCAACTCAATGGCACTTAATAACAACCTATATGAGAAATTTCAAAAAGTGTGTGGCATGTTGGAATTAAAAGATCATGGAATTTTTCAATAAACTTTTTGAAGCCCCTTTGTATTTACAACTTGCAGGAAGGAGTAAGTGATAAAATGGGTTGGAGTCATTTGCATTAAATAGGTGCTCACCCAATAGAAGGAATTCTGACTGGTCTAGGTGTCTATTCAGTAACTCCTTGTCAGAGTCCTTAATGGAGAAGAATAAATAAATAAATAGTAGCTTGTTGAGGGCAAGCCTGAACAAGAAAAACTGAACAGAAAAGAAGGCAGTTTTCTAATTACAATTTTTAAATACTAAAATTGGGAAAAGTCATGGAAAACTCTGGAAGCCTAGATCATTGCTTCTGCTTTCATGTTAGTTCCAAGTATATATTTAAGTGCCTAAGAATGCAAACACTCTCTCAAGGCTTGAACCTAAAATTTCTAATCTTTTATAATGAGTACTTTCATGTTTAGATTGTTTTCTTTTTACTTTCTGACATAATCACAGGATAAAGAAAATAAACTTCTTGATGTTTATCAATACCTGTTAAAATTATATAAATTAAAACAAAATATTTTTGCTATACAACTTCTTCTTTAGCCTACATGATAAGTTGACTTGGGTAATTAAGGTAAAAGGTAGTAAAGAACCAACGTTTGAATTCTACATAGTCCAGAACTAGTTCTCCTCTACTTTGGGTAATGTTGACACACACACACACACACACAAAAACTGCAATCAAGTTGATTGCAACTCCCATTAGAGTCTATGACAGTGTAGAGTTCCCCAGTAAGGTTTCCAAGGCTGTAAATCTTCAGAAGCAGATTACCATATTTTGTCCCATGGAGTAACTGATGGGTTAGATCTGATGACCTTTTAGTTAGCAACTGAGTGCCTTAACTGCTGAGCCACCAGGAATCCTAACATATAACCAAGGGTACTTTAAAATAGCATGGAAAGAAACAGAGAAAGAAAATGAATGAATAAAAGAGTGACTATGTGTACAGATCCACCACTCATGTGTTAGTTTGTCATACTATGGTGGCTTGTGAGTTGCTGTGATTCTGGAAGCTATGCCACAAGTATTTTAAATACCAACAGGGTCACCCACGGTGGACAGATTTCAGATGAGCTTCCAGATGAACAGACACTAGGAAGAATGAGAGACGAACTACTTCCACATATTTAGTTATTGAAAACCTTATGAATAGCAGAGAAACACTGTCAGATAAAGTGCCAGAAAATGAGCCCCTCAGGTTGGAAGGCACTCCAAATGCGACTGCGGAAGAGCTGCCTTCCTCAAAGTAGAGTTGATTGTGATGAAGCAAATGGAGTAAAGCCCATGGGAGAAAACCCCCGGGACCTTCATTTGCTGATGAGATACAACTCAAAATGAAAACAAACAGCTGAAAACATGTATCAATAATCAGCGCATGGAATGTGCAAAGTATGAATCTAGGAAAATTGGAAATTGTCAAAATAAATGGAGCGCATAAATCAATATCTTAGGAATTAGTAAGCTGAAATGTACTGGTATTGGACATTTTGAATCTGACAACCACAGAAATGACAAATTGAAGAGGAATAGTGTTGCATTCATCATCAAAAACAACATATCAAGATCAGTCATGAGATACAATGCTGTCTGTGATAGGATAATATCCATGCACCTACAGGGAAGACCAGTTAATGCCACTATTATTCAAATTTACGCACCAACCACTAAAACCAGTGAGGATGATATAGAAGAATTCTATCAACTTCTTCAATCTGAAATTGATCAAATATGCAATCAAGATGTATTGATCATTAGTGGCGATTGGAATGCAAAGGTTGGGAGCAAAGAGTAATTGGAAAGTATGGCCTTGGTGATAGAAATGATGCTAGAGATCACATGATAGAATTCTGCAAAACCAATGATTTGTCTATTTCAAATACCTACTTTAGACAGCATAAGAGATGATTATACACATGGACCTCACCAGATGGAATACACAGAAATCAAACTGACTACATCTGTGGAAAGAGATGGTGGAAAAGCTCTGTATCATCAGCCAAAACAAAGCCAGGGGCAGATTTTGGAACAGATCATCAATTGCTCTTATGCAAATTCAGACTGAAGCTGAAGAAAATGAAAACAAGTCCATGAGAGCTAAAATATGAACTTGAATATATCCCACCTGAATTTAGAATCATCTGAAGAACAGATGACATCAAGAACACCATACAGGAAGAAAGCTAAAAGTCAATAAGAAGAGAGAAAGAAGGAAAAGATTAAAATGGATGTCAGAAGAGACACTGAAACTTGCTTTCCAGTGTAGAGATGCTAAAAAGCAAATGGAAGAAATGAGGAGGTACAAGAGCTGAACAGAAAATTTCAAAGGTCATCTTGAGAAGAAAAAGTCAAATACTGCAATGAAATGTGCAAAAATCTGGAGTTAGAAAACCAAAAGGGAAGAACACGCTAAGCATTTATCAAGCTAGGGGAACTGAAGGAAAAAATTCAAGTCTCGTCTTTTGTTATTGAAGGATTCTCTGGGCATATTATTGAATGATGAAGAAAGCATCAAGAGAAGATGGAAGGAATACACAGAGTCACTGTATCAAAAGGAAATGGTTGATGTTCAACTGTTTCAAGAAGTAGCATATGATCAAGAGTAAATGATACTGAAGGAAGAAGTCCAAGGTGCACTGAAGGAATTGGCAAAGACCAAGGCACCAGGAATTGATGCAATAAAAATTGAAATTTTTCAAGAAAATAAAGCAGCATTGGAGGCACTCACTCATCTATGCCATGAAATTTGGAAGACAACTATCTGGTCAACTGATTGGAAGAGATCCATATTTGTGCCTTTTCCAAAGAGAGGTGACCCAGCAGAATGCAAAAATCATCAGACAATATCTTTGATATCCCATGCAAGTGACGTTTTACTAAAGGCAGTACAAAA